GGGGGGGGGAATTCGGGGTCTCTTATGCTGAGGCTGCTGTGAAATCACACAAAGCAATGCCAGACTGCATCTGCGAAGCGACCGGAGCGGCCCAAAACCGCAGCGACCGCAGCCAAAGCCACTCAGTGCGCACATGCCTCATCTTAGCATCTTAGCAATGTGACACTAGGACATAGCTGCACACATTCTTGATGCGTGACACCCCGATCATTTTGCATAGGGTGGAAACATGCATGCTTTGTTAAAGAAAAACCCTTGCATTTTTTCCGACTTTTTTTTTTTTTTTTTTTTGGTGTCGCTGTTGGATGAAGTCAGAACGACGATTTTCCAGCTTTGGGCATAGGATCACATCGGTGACATGATTGTGAAAGCGTAGTCCGCAATGCCCGGAAGTGTGAAGTTTAACACGCACACCCCCCCGCCCTCATCCCACCCTCCCACCCCCACCCTGTGGCATTGAAAGCGACTGCCATGACGACAAAAAATGTTATTACAACAGACACTGGCTGCCAACGCCAACTAATTATCGGGATTCCTCTGTGCCGTCTGAAAGCTGGAGGTCTTTTCAAATCTATATGACTGTTGTTGTGACAAAGCACGGGCAATAGACCGCGTTCCTGGCAATGTCACTCAAGCTGAAAAAAAAAAGATGGACCGTGAACACCTTGCGCCATTTCAAAAGAGATTATTCATCCCTGGAAGTTTGAGGGGGATCTGTTGTGACTAGTCGAGCGCTGAAAAGGAACTTTGATGGCAAACTATCATGTTTTAAGAGCATCCAGGAGAACTGCCGGGTGTAGAGCAGTGTGGGATAACGGAACAGGCCCAAATCTATTTGACGGCGACTACTTGCAATCGCAAGATGAATATAATACTTGTAACACTGAACATGGTCTCATTCAGCGCCGATTTCAAACTTTCTGGGATTCCGCTTTGAATGAGAGCACCTCCACATTGAGATTTCAAATTTCATATTTACAACCCTTTAATTCGTTCAGTAGGCGTCTCTGTTGTTTATTCTGCCATTCCCAGTGAAAAGTTTATTTGCTTTTCGTGTAGTTGCGCAGCGTGGGCGTATGATGAAACATAAATCTGGCTTGTGGAGGAACGTGGTGCGAGCCCACGCCTGTCAGCTCTCGGTTCAACTCGACACCATGTTCTCTGTTGGCCAGGTGGTGGGTGTTTCACAGATGCTTTTTCAGGGAAGGTTTTTTTTTGTTTGTTTTCTATCAGCGGCCTCATGATAATATTGGTATACGGTCCTTGAAAATGATGTCATCCGTGCTGTGTGACTCAAAAGGACCAATGACAAGGGGAGTTACGACCTTGTGGGAGCTCCAGAGTCAACTGCTCTCTTGCCGCAAACATTTCAACATGACTTCAGCTGCTGCCTCCAAGAATTCCTCTCCACCCAAGGGTGCCTTGGCTGCCGTATCATCTACTATCGATGATAAACGATGAGCTCACGACGCCAAATCCACGTCCTCGGGGATCGGAAGGGAGTCAGCGATGGCTGCATCTAAAGGACACTCTGCTGGTAAGGCGTCCACATGCTAAAGCCCAGCAAATCCCTCCAACAAATCACTGAACACACGCAAGTAAGCCCAAGGATCAGGCTCATTTTACTCATTGAAAGGTCTTGTGTGCGCTGGGCTCAATGCATTCCTTTTGCCTTTTTTTTCTTTGGGATGAATCTCCTTCTGGATCCTCACAATCACATCCATACAAGTGAAAATAGATTCATCATTACCGCGACATGCTTGCATGCCAAGCGGCATGAATTAGCGCCGGATATTGCAACAGAAGCCTTTTTTTTTTTCTAATGTCTCCTTTCAATCCTCAGTGCAAAAGGGTTCCAATGAAAGAACATATAATAGAACTCCACTGAAGATGAACAAGCCTAATTAGACTCGGCACCACACTGTACACCGTCATTCAGGCCAATTCGGTATGCCGTTTGGTAAGGAAATGCAATGAAGGGTGACAAAAGGTTTGGATTGATGACAAATAATAGAATCTTCAACTTTATTGGAGTAAAATTGTATGGGTTCATCCTGAGTAGTATGCAGACATCAACCAATGCCAAATAATCGTATTCAGCACAAAACGGAACACCTTCCCATGCGTCCTACATGAGACACTATTAACTCATTCAGTACCAGCCAATTCTGGACCAAGTCTGAAAAGTTCACTCCCTCCCTTGAGTTAAATTTTCATTCAGATTTAACATTATGAATTTATAATGCAGTTCACGGTTCTAAAAGTTTGGGTTTGAACTCGGGCTCTGGCCTTCCTGTACGTTTTGTGGGTTTTCTTGAAAGACTCCAACTTGGAAAATCCAGAGGTTACAGTCATTGAAGGATCTCAATTGTTGTTTTTTAAATTTTAATGTTTTGGTTTAAACGTGGCCTGAGATTTGCTGGTGACCTGTCCATGAGTGTACACTGCCACTTGCGGGATAGGCTCCATCTCACCTGCGACCCAAATAAGCACAGCCCATTATCCAAGGTCAATTTTGAATGCCTACGCTCAATGTAAACGAATTAAATGTACAACAATTGTACATTTGCAATCACAGGATGGCTAAACGTTTAGCATAAGAGAGGCATCGGCTCACCCCGCAGGTGCGCCTCAACCTGTCACATCTGTCAGCCATAACCCCACCCCACCCCCGTCACACCTCGCACATGCACCCCGCAAAAGGCCGACATTTCAGGAGGGGAGGATCGCATCTCGACGACAGATGTCCCGCCAAAGCATAATACAAAAGGCTGCGTATGGTTACCAAAGGTGCTGTCATCAATCAAGTGCCTGATCGCTATTTACACAGTGTGATGTGAAGTCTAATCCATGGCAACGGTGACAACAATAAGTTCGGGAAAGTGCCACGACATTAGTTGCCGCAAGTTCTGCACACCCTTTAAAAGCATTGGCGCTCCCACTTTTTTTTTTTTTTTTTTTTTATGTTAAGAGGCGGGCAATTGATTGATCTTCGTTTACTGTACCAACAAGATGAAGTAAACTTTATACTCATACATGGCAATGGCGAGTGATGAAAAAAGCGGAAGGGGCGTGGCCTGGACGGGGGCGTGGCCTGGACGGGGGCGTGGTTACTTACAAAAGTGGCACTAAACATGCTGAAGATTAAGTGTATTAAATTTACACAGTTTGAAAATTGAACAGAAAAAAATCCCAAGATCGCCACTATTCTTTCAAGTGAAAATTTGTGCAATTTTGCCTATGCATTCCTGGTGAGCACCAATATGTAACTCCAAATTTGCTGCTCAAAATCAAAACTAAAAAAGTAAACACATTCCCTGCCATA